AACAAGCTTAGTGCTTAATAAGTGTGATATTGTTGCATGTGATATCATTGGAAAATGTACAATACTTTCTCTAAAAGAATGTTTATGGGGTCGTTTAGCGTCATGTTTGAGGTTTATACGCCGGTTTTGGGTTTAAAACTATTTTAAAACAAACGAATAAAAGAATTTGGGGGACCAGTAAAATTCTTAATCAAAAATAGAAATTGATCAATTATTCTTTAAAGTCTTTTACGGTAAAACACATTACACCTACCGGATATCACTTTTGTTTGACTATCTGGAGGCGCACATAGGGTCTTAGTGTGAGAAAAAACCGAGTTGGTTGGTTGGTTGCATTTTTTTAACGTCCTATCAACAGTAAAGGTCATGTAAGGACGGCCTCCCGGTATGTGCGATGTGAGTGTCTGTGTTGAATGCCTGTTAGCCTCCTTGTGATAGTGCGAAACTGATGCCGTCTTTACAGTGCTACCACACTGGAGCGAACTGCCGTAGGCCCCAAGCAGGACACCCCACCGAGACCATTATACTGACCAGTCGTCTCGTTCCCACAATGCTGAGCGTCAAGCAAGGATTGGTAGCTACCATTATTATTGACTTTTCATGTGTCTCGGCCAGGGGACAGGCCAGAAGTTAGGTAGGTGACCAATAGAGGTCATCAACAAAGGTGAAGAGGCAGGATGGAAGAGATAATATAAAGATTTCAGAATCGGGGGTGTTCTTCTCTTCTGTGTCGCCTATAAAGAGAAGAGGAGAACACCCCCGAGGATTTTTTTTTCTTTTTTCTTTAGAAACATGAAAATATTAAGCCAGCCTAATTAAATGTATATTACCTAGCAATAAATGTATCCATGTGTCATGAGATGAGTTGAAATAAAATGTATGTATGTAAATATTGTATTCAATGTCTTCAAATATCAAAAGTATGCTGGTAGCCAGAGAGAGAGCTTATATAGGCAAAGCCTGTTGCTCAATCCTTTTGTTTAATCAATAAAATATATTTGAAATGAAATTATTTCACCATTTGATAATTTACAGTCATATGATGCAATACTACGTGCAGTCACAAAGACCCGACTCTTTAGGACGGAATACCGTATCAATCCAAGGAAATATGCATATTTTGAGGGTGGTACAAGTTCATGTTCATGTTCATGTCATAGTGTTACTTTATGCGATAGCATTTTCATTGCCCAATTACAATCAATACACTCTTTTTAAATTTACACATTTCAACAAAAATGAATAACAGTTAAGCTTTTGGCATCTAAAAGTATATGATATAGGTAGATATACCAAACAACGAATAAAGACATCAAGTAATGTTTTTTTTCCCCGAAAACATGCATTCAAGTATGAATGAAGTACATTCAATGTAACGTCTAGTACCCACAGCTTTAAGAGAATTTTCACATTTTTATATTTGTCTTTTGAATAAACAGGTAAGCTTATTACCTGTAACTCTAACTAGATCGAATGTTGAAAGATTTAAGTTCATTCAAGATGAATGTCTTTTTACCAGTGGTTACTTACCTAGAGCGAAAACGGGTGATGTTAATAGGATGCACATGTATATGACTAATATTTATATTCGGATTTTTTCTTAATTTCTAAATCGTAAATGATAATGCCAAATGTCAAGAACCTGATCCTCCGCTGTAGGTGTGTGCATTGTTATGCAGCGAAATATTTGTTGTCAAATCCTTTTCTATTTATGTTCACCAAGTGATGTTTAAAAATGATCAAGTTCAAAGAATGCGCATACCCTGCGTTAAGAAATATTGATTATGTAATGTAAAACACTGGCATGCTTATTTTTAGCTGTTGTTATTTATTTTGTATCGTATGGTCATACCTATTTGATAATTTTGCATTTAAAAGGAATCATGTGGAATGAAATATATGTAATATATGTAAAGATTATTTTCATTTTACTTTGTGACTGTATATACCACACAACCAAAACAATAGTACAAAAGGTAAATAAATGTCTCCATTTAATACACGTCATTTATAGCACTATGATTCGACTATGGTATTGTTTTAACCATATGTGGGTAAACACGTGAATGTTCATTATTAAATTAAGAATTCTAAGATTACTAAATGTTTACTAAATGGTTTGTTGTGATTATGATTCGCTGAAAATACATGAGAATAGGTCAATAATACTTACTGTTGATTTAAAAATGAAACCGGAAGTAAATCAAAACCTACGGATACCGGTGGTTTTATTACGGTCAACATTACTCGCGATACTTTAACAGCCATGTTAAGTTTCAATATGCTGTAATAGTATTATTTTTTAAAACTGTATCGAATAAGTACAGCAGAAGATAGTTATTTTTAAATACGAATATTAGTCACAACTGTTCAAATGGACTTCGTTGCCGGTATATCAAAATAGGGTCTGTTCGATTTAATTGGCCCTTTTGCAAAAGATGTGTGAAAAAATACAAAACTAAATCGTTTGGCTTATTATACTTTAAACGCTCGTGGCTCCGGATAAAAACAAAAAAAATATTCATCTGCAGGGAGAAGTCTAGCTTGGACAATATAGGACTTCACTAAGACCCCGTGTACTCTGATGATGCCAAACACAAATGACTGTTTTTGACCTTTTGTTTTAAATGTTCATTAATTTCAAAATGTAATTTGTATTAGGGAAACATTATACAAATATTTGTTTTAACTTTGTGTCGGATTTTTGGAGAATGAATAACTCATTAACAAGAATATAAAGGCGATTGTCTGCCTATCCCCCAATACACTTTAGCTAATGATCGGCTGGCCTAATGCCGACAAAATATTATAAATGTCAAAGAATTTAAATTCAGTATGCATACATATATCAACTACGAAGATACAACAGTGCCCTCAGTCCAGATACTGCAAAAGAATACAGTAAGGCACTGTGGTCATATAATCATTTGTCTTTAAATTTTAGTTTATACAAATGTAAATACATCCATATAATAAGTATAAGATAACAAATAAAAATTTGAATAATAATATGTTTATTTTTATTTGTATAACATACAGTATATAGATTGTATAAAATATTGATTATTTTCCTTTAACTTTTGATATGTATACACATGTATATATATCATACTGAGTATGAAGATATATAACAATGAATTGAAAACTTTCAGTAGTTCTGTAACCACATCAACGGATAAATTGTCACGAAAAGAAAATGATAACTTTCATACGACAATGATGTCGACACAGATGGGAAAATATACTATAACGTCAAAACATATGGGTTAATATACTATAACGTCAACACCGAAGGGTTAATATACCATAACGGCAACTCATATGGGTTAATATACCATAACGTCAACGCAGATAGGTTTATATACAATAACGTCAAAAACCAAGGGTTAATATACCATAACGTCAACACCGAAGGGTTAATATACCATAACGTCAAAAACCAAGAGTTAATATACCATAACGTCAACACCGAAGAGTTTATGTACCATAACGTCAACACATATGGGTTAGTATACTTTAACGTCAACACAGATAGGTTTTTATCACATACCTGTTGAATCTTGTTATAGTAATACAAACAATTTTCGGACCATGAAATACAACGTTCTGTATTGCACATGTGTAATACGGAATGTTGTATTTACCTACTAGCCGGAACTACATTTCATGGGAATCCCCTTGTCCTGGCGAACTGAAAAGTTCCCGGTATTTGCAAAAAATAACAAAATTTATAAAATCTTTGAATCGATCTCTACCAAATACGGAAGGTATGTGATAAAAGCAAGACCACACACTTGTGGTTTTCTAACGAATCAGAAAGCACGAGTTTATTGTGCGGACGAATATATTCACGAGTGCGCGGAGCGCAACGGCCGCGCAATAAATGAGTGCTTTGTGATTCGTTAGAAAAACACAAGTGTGTGGTCTTGCATATATATACCATAACGTCAAAAACCAAGGGTTAATATATACCATAACGTCATCACCGAAGGCTTAATATACTATAACGTCAACACCAGAGGATTAATATATACCATAACGTCAACACAGATAGGTTAATATACCATAACGTCAACACAGAAGGGTTCATATACCATAACGTCAACACCAGAAGGTTAATATATACCCTAACGTCATCACCGAAGATTTAATATACTATAACGTCAACAACAGAGGGTTAATACATACCATAACGTCAACACAGATGGGTTAATATACTATAACGTCAACACACATGGGTTAATATACCATAACGGCAACACATATGGGTTAATATACTATAACGTCAACACAGATGGGTTAATATACTATAACGTCAACACACATGGGTTAATATACCATAACGTCAACACAGATGGGTTAATATACTATAACGTCAACACACATGGGTTAATATACCATAACGGCAACACATATGGGTTAATATACTATAACGTCAACACAGATGGGTTAATATACCATAACGTCAACACAGATGGGTTAATATACTATAACGTCAACACATATGGGTTAATATACTATAACGTCAACACAGATGGGTTAATATACCATAACGTCAACACAGATGGGTTAATATACTATAACGTCAACACATATGGGTTAATATACTATAACGTCAACACAGATGGGTTAATATACCATAACGTCAACACAGATGGGTTAATATACTATAACGTCAACACATATGGGTTAATATACTATAACGTCAACACAGATGGGTTAATATACCATAACGTCAACACAGATGGGTTTATATACTATAACGTCAACACATATGGGTTAATATACTATAACGTCAACACAGATGGGTTAATATACCATAACGTCAACACAGATGGGTTTATATACTATAACGTCAACACATATGGGTTAATATACTATAACGTCAACACAGATGGGTTAATATACCATAACGTCAACACAGATGGGTTTATATACTATAACGTCAACACATATGGGTTAATATACTATAACGTCAACACAGATGGGTTAATATACCATAACGTCAACACAGATGGGTTTATATACTATAACGTCAACACATATGGGTTAATATACCATAACGTCAACACAGATAGGTTTATATACCATAACATCAACACAGATAGGTTTATATACCATAACGTCAACACAGATAGGTTTATATACCATAACGTCAACACCAGAGGGTTAATATACACCATAACGTCAACACAGATGGGTAAATATACTATAACGTCAACACAGATAGGTTTATATACCATAACGTCGATACAGAAGGGTGTACTATACCACAACGTCGACACACAAATGCAAAAACTGAGGAAACATTATAGAAAGACAGGCATTATGAACCAAAGAGCAAGAGCACAAGAACAACATATATCACTTATCACAACATGTTTACTAGCAGGCCTGTTGCAGTGTATAACACATGTAACACTTATCACAATATGTTTACTAGCAGGCCTGTTACACTGTATAACACAAATAACACTTATCACAACATGTTTACTCGCAGGCCTGTTACACTGTATGACACATATAACACTTATCACAACATGTTTATTGGCAGGCCTGTTATACTGTATGGCACATATAACACTTATCACAACATGTGTACTAGCAGGCCTGTTACACTGTGTAACACAGGTATTACTTATGACAACATGTTTACTAGCAGGCCTGTTACACTGTATACCAAATGTAACACTTATCACAACATGTTTACTAGCAGGCCTGTTACACTGTGTAACACAGGTATTACTTATCACAACATGTTTACTAGCAGGCCTGTTACACTGTATAACACAAATAACACTTATCACAACATGTTTACTAGCAGTCCTGCTCACTGTATAACACATTTAACACATATAACGCATATATCGCTTATCAATACATGTTTACTAGCAGGCCAGTTACACTGTATAACACTTGTGTAGCTAGCTTTATTAGCAGGTTGTTACACTGTATAATACCGGTGTAGTAACCTTTACTAGCAGGCTGTTACATTGTATAATACCTGTGTAGTAACCTTTACTAGCAAGCTGTTACATTGTATAATACCTGTGTAGTTACCTTTACTAGCAGGCTGTTACATTGTATAATACCTGTGTAGTTACCTCTACTAGCAGGCTGTTACATTGTATAATACCGGTGTAGTTACCTTTAATAGCAGGCTGTTACATTGTATAATGCCTGTGTAGTAACCTTTACTAGCAAGCTGTTACATTGTATAATACCTGTGTAGTTACCTTTATACGCAGGTTGTTACGCTGTATAATACCTTTGTAGTTACCTTTTCTAGCAGGCCTGTTACATTGTATAATACCTGTGTAGTTACCTTTATTAACAGGCTGTTACATTGTATAATACCTGTGTAGTTACATTTATGAGCAGGCTGTTACATTGTACAATACCTGTGTAGTTACCTATATTAGCAGGTTGTTACACTGTATAATACCTTTGTAGTTACCTTTATTAGCAGGCTGTTACATTGTATAATACCTGTATAGCTACCTTTATTAGCAGGTTGTTACACTGTGTAGTTACCTGTGTAGTTACCTTTATTAGCAGGCTGTTACATTGTATAATACCTGTGTAGTTACCTTTATTAGCAGCCCTGATGCACTGTATGAATACGTCTTTTAGTAAAAAAAAATCAAAATTAAGAAGTTCACTGCCCTTTTTTCAACAAAACATGTATGCCATTACTAAAGTCAATGAACCGTTTTATTAAACGTGGGCGTGATCTTATAAAATGTCTGTTATTACACAGAATCTTACGTTCTGTGTTTAGTAACAGATCATTTGAGCTTTGACCTAGCCACCTCAAAAGCAATCTCAAACATCCCCTTCTCTTTACCAGAATGACAGTATACATATGCCATTATTGTCCGAAGTGAACGACAGTTTGGAAACTAAAGTGTGAGAAAAAGGAAACACAATTCCCAAGTCTCCCAATAACTAATGTGTGAGAAAACAGAAATATTATATTACACCATCTGAACATTCATCGATTATCTTGAATTAACTCAAGTACAAACTCAACTTTAACAAATATGTAAAAATTTGCTGCAAATTAATAGACATGTAGCAATGCTTTAAAATATTTCATATTTTTTTATCAGAATATATTTTATATATCATCTTCTGGGTATGTATAAAGTATGTATACAATCTTTTTATCTATATAAATAAAACATCAAATATAATCATATCACCAATAAAATGATTACACTTTTGTACTGAATAAATGTTTACCAGATCCATATGATTTCTTAAGTTCTTTTATCTCATCTAGGAGATTCTTCAGAATATCTTCAGTCTGAAGAATCTCCTAGAAGAGATAAAGTACTAAAGATTCGTTGTTGAGAATTTTTCTTTTTATAATATTTTTTCTTCCGTAAGGAGAATTTTTCTGCTGATATAATATATTTATCTATATATATAAGCCATACAAACTCCCCACATTTTTTTCACCTTGAGAATGATGATCGAGTAAAATTACTAATCAAACAAGGGCATAGTGCTCTTTTTTGGATACACAACTCACACTATGATTATATCAATTCAACATGCATACCTTCACATTTTATTTGCTTGTTAAATATTTTGCTGTTGAAACTCTGTACTTTGCATCTGTTTGCGTGTTCTAGTTCAACAAACATAGCTTTAGTCTGGTCTGGTGGGTTCTAAAGCTCCAACTGAGTCCTACAGCTCCACAAACCAAGGCTTGAAGGACCCTTCTTTCGCTCGAGGAAACTGTGGAATATAATTATGTACACATAAAACGTGTTCGATGATGGATTTGTGTTCGGTTCTTTTGATGTCTTTATGTCTCTGTGTGTTATGATTTGAATTTCTCTCCATATCAAAGGAATATTAATGCCTTAAAATACATGCTTCCTATGACAACTTTTTAAAGCACTCATTCTAGCCCTTTCCGGCTATATTTTATCTCTGTTTTGGTGTGTACCGTTTCTGCTTGTTTGTTCTCCTCTGTTTTGGTGTGTACACTTTCTGCATGGAAACATGGTTTTTACAGGAAGAAATGTTTATATGCAAATGAACCGGTCTCAAATATTCTACTTCCTTATTCGGTGAATTTACCTGTTGAGTGAACTGGTCTTCACACGCCATTCTGATCCGTTCAGGAGTGGCTGGACTGTCCAACTGGAACATCCTGCTTTTCCCAGCATCCCCTCGGGCAGACATAATAGCGTCTTTAGCTGCGAAGAAAACTGATGCTGCCAGGAAGAGAGGTGGTTCCCCAATAGCCTAATGGTGAAGAGACACACTCAATTATAAGCAGTACTATATATTTGTTATATGTTAATGATTATGTCCGCCTTGTGGGGAAGTGTGTTGCCTTCATTAAAGTAACACGATAAAAGCATGTTTTAACAAACACTATGGTGCATACCCATTACCTTTAGTAAAATAAAATCAGTTTCAGAAGGGAGTTAATCCTAAATGAAATTCACTTGAAGCATTTAAGGTTATGCTAATTTAGTATGCTAAATCAGTTTAAGGGTGTAATCTGTGTCGGATTCTACAGAAATCCTTGGATTAGGGATGTAACTGTTTGGAATATTTCTTTTATATATATATCAATGAATGTTTAACCATGATGTTCATTTTTGCAAATTAGTTACATATATCCAACCTTTGGGAAAAAATACACAAATGCCAATATCATATATATAATAAGTTTATTACATAGATAAACATTTTTTTCTTGACAATAGTATTTTTATGATTTCAAAAAACTGATCATGATCGTTGATGCTTTATGTCTTTTTTGTTTGAACATAAACATATGTTTCAAGTTTCGTGATATTCAAAAAATTGTGCTAAAAAGTGTTTAGAAAACACGACGCAATAGTAACTATATTTGACTTTTTTGACCGTGAATTCAGACAATCTTTTGTAAACTAACCTTAGATGAGTACACTGCCCGATGGTTGATGCTGCTCTTGAGGAGGGAGACATTAAACTCGAGAGGTACGTCGCCAAAACCAGGGATCTTGTAGGCACCAGGACCACGTGTAAACAAGTAGCCGCTCGGAGACATCTTCTGTTGCTCCATCATCATCAGACCATAGCCCTGGTAACAGAAAGGTAAGAATTCCAACTTAGAGCTCAAGTTCTACAATGCTTTACACATACGGAATATGTGAAATGTTTCCTGTATTGTTTATTTTCCATGCATGCGTGATACTTAAGCAGAGGTAACGTGACCCGGCTATCTATTTTTTTTTTTTCATTCTTTATGCTGAAAATCATTTTTTACTAAAAGTTCCGAATTTGATCTGCTTGCGAAAAATGTTCAAACTCAAGATAAATGCATATTAACATAATTTTCATCTTTTTGCCTCCGCGCCTGTGGCTTTCAACTGACGAACGACTGTTACCTGAGTAAACGCCCCTTCTATCTGTCCGATGTCAATGGCTGGGTTCAGACTAACACCAACATCCATCACAATGTCCGTATGAAGCACCTGTAAAACATAAAACATTTTTAATCAAATGCTTTATATTTCTAATCATTACTCTCTCTCATCAAAATAGTTCTTTTATTAAAATTACACAGCCTATTTGCAAGAAAATACTCGCAAGTAAGACAATGCCCTACAGAACCCAGACTGGAATAATATCTTGCCATGTCAGGAGGCTCGACAACATAAATAGGATACGCACGGATATCCCTAAGATTGGAATTTTACCGTAAAGGCTTGCAAATTATTATTTGTGCAGGCACTTGAACTAAAAATGCCAGATACTAGCTTTTACTTATACATTTTATGCATAAAATATTCCCCAAAAGACCGATATCCAGAAATAAACCGGATCCCTAAACTTAAGATTCGTGTTGTAATCATATGTGAGAGCAGTTTGTGTATAACCTGTGTGTAGGTAGTTTGTGTATTGACTATGTGTAAGCATAGCAGTTTCTGTATTGACCATGGTAAGCAGTTTGTGTATTGACTATGTGTAAGCATAGTAGTTTCTGTATTGACTATGTGTAAGCATTTTCTTTATTGACTATGTGTAAGAAGTGTCTGTATTGACTCTGTGAAAGCAGTTTGTGTATTGACTATATGTAAGCAGTTTGTGTATTGACCATGTGTAAGCATAGTAGTTTCTGTATTGACTATGTGTGAGTAGCTTCTGTATTGACCATGTGTAAGTAGTTTGTGTATTGACCATGTATAAGCATAGTAGTTTCTGTATTGACTATGTGTAAGAAGTGTCTGTATTGAATATTTGTAAGCAGTTTGTGTATTGACTGTGCGTAATTAGTTTCTGTATTGACTATGTGTAAGCAGTTTGTGTATTAACCATGTGTAAGCAGTTTGTGTATTGAATATGTGTAAGCAGTTTCTGTATTGACTATGTGTAGGTAGTTTGTGTATTGACTATGTGTAAGCATAGCAGTTTCTGTATTGACCATGGTAAGCAGTTTGTGTATTGACTATGTGTAAGCATAGTAGTTTCTGTATTGACTATGTGTGAGTAGCTTCTGTATTGACCATGTGTAAGTAGTTTGTGGATTGACCATGTGTAAGCATAGTAGTTTCTGTATTGACTATGTGTAAGTAGTTTCTGTATTGACCATGTGTAAGTAGTTTGTGTATTGACCATGTGTAAGCATAGTAGTTTCTGTATTGACTATGTGTAAGAAGTGTCTGTATTGAATATTTGTAAGCAGTTTGTGTATTGACTATATGTAAGCAGTTTGTGTATTGACCATGTGTAAGCAGTTTGTGTATTGACTGTGTAAGCACTTTGTGTATTGACCATGGGTAAGCAGTTTGTGTATTGACTATGTGTAAGTAGTTTGTGTATTGACCATGTGTAAGTAGTTTGTGTATTGACTATGTGTGAGCAGTTTCTGTATTGACCTTGTGTAAGCAGTTTCTGTATTGAGCATGTGTAAGCAGTTTCTGTATTGACCATGTGTAAGCAGTTTCTGTAATGACTATATGTACGCAGTTTGTGTATTGACCATGTGTAAGTAGTTTGTGTATTGACCATGTGTAAGTAGTTTTTGCATTGACTGTGTAAGTAGTTTGTGTATTGACCATGTGTAAGTAGTTTGTGTATTGACCATGTGTAAGTAGTTTTTGTATTGACTATGTGTAAGTAGTTTGTGTATTGACTATGTGTAAGCAGTTTGTGTATTAACCATGTGTAAGCAGTTTCTGTGTTAACTGTGTAAGCAGTTTGTGTTTTGACTATGTGAAAGCAGTTTCTGTATTGACTATGTGTAAGGAATGGCAAACGAGCCTGTATCTTCAACTTGTCGTTCTATTCAAATCTTTTCTCTTAAAAAGGTCACGTCATTGAGTTATCAAAAATTGAAAAAATATCATGCATTTTCAAAGCAATAGGCCACTTAATTGCCAGCAAATATTTATTAAAAATCTTTTCTACACATGAATCCTCATTGGGTTTTAGATTTTGTGTTTTTATTCAAAGTTTGTCTAGTCTTCAGTTGAGATCCTACATTTCATTGCATCAACCTTTCAACTACTGGTGACATACATGGTCCTATGCCTTTTGGTTACTCAGGAGGATTTTTTTGTTTTGATATATTTGCCCTTGTGACCTTGAATGTACGTCAATGTCATCGAAATTGCATAGCATGTTTTATAAGTAAACTACTGGCCAAATGTCAATACTCAATGACTCTTGGTCATTCGGAAAAGACTTATAATGTAGAATACATTTAACCCAAGTGACCTTAAAACAGTTGGTTAATGTGTATTTTTGGAAGAATTTATTTTAAAGTACCATGATTTTTTTCTTCTTCTTAGATTCAAAATAATTAAAACAGATTTGGTTTATATGATGTGCCAAAAGACATTAAATTACCAGCTTTTTTAACTTTGTTACTAAATTTAACTTTCTAAAAACACTTTTGATGCACATATCCCATGTCTTGTCTCGTTCACTCGTCTAACATTTAAATGTACCTGATTTTATCTGATAATCAGGATTAAACATTAACAAAACATAAAGTAAAAATACTTTACCTTGTGGTCACCGGTCAGGCAGTCAATCTCCACCTCCGAGCATGCTGATCCAAATGTGAAATAGTTAAATGGGCGTCCACTGTTTGAGCCAAAGTCATAACCCAAATCAGGTGTTCTACAGCAACAATGAAGCGATGTAAGACATACTCATGAAAGGTTATTGAAATTGTAGCGATACATGAAGTTGTAACTGTTTTTCATTTTTGTGGATGCAAGGTACTGAAATTAAGGCTTTTTACTTCAGTTGTTAGTTAAGAGTATCAGACATCTTACTTGTATCTATCAAGGATTAATTGTTGTTAATTATTTATAATTATTTAAGTATTAGACTCACTGATAACATAAACGTTACTGGGCTTCTCTCCTTTAACTAAGTTTGACCAGCAGCTGTACATGGTAAAGGTAAAAATGAGCCCCGAAAAGCAGTTAGCCCAAAACTAATTAAATATCAGTTTCAGAAGTTTATTACTTCTGTATGATTTAAAACCTGTTTTCTAACGGGAGTAGTACAATAAGGTATATATTGTGTTGTTTTAGCAAGTATAGTAAAATGAGGTATACATTGTGTTGTTTCAGCGAGGAAAGTACAATGAGGTATATCAAGTTTCAAGTTTTTTATTTCCGAATGCAAATCAGCATATAGGTTAATTGATACATAGAATACAAAACATATTTCAAATTTTCAAGATGGCAGAGGACAATTCCATATAAGCAAGTATCACATAAAAAGAATACATAATTTAGCAATTTTACTGCACGAGGGTTTTTCTTTTGGCGGTAGCATATTTTAAATATAGACCCAATCTACGTAATGTTTTAATACTTTTACATGACAATAATTCAATTAATTTATACACACTGGGGCATCGGAAGTAATATTGCTTAATGTATGTGTTTCTCAATACAGAGTAAGCAGGACAAATAAGAATAAAATGTATCTCATCTTCTAAATCATTTTTGTCACAGGCAAAACATAGTATAGTACAATGCGGTATACCTTGTGTTGTTTTAGCGAGGATGGTAAAATGAGGTATAATCGGTATTGTGTTGTTTTAGCGAGTAAGGTACAATAAGGTAAATATTGTGTTGTTTTAGCAAGTATAGTACAATGAGGTATATATTGTGTTGTTTTAGCAAGTATAATACAATGAGGTATACATTGTGTTGTTTCAGCGAATATAGTACAATGAGGTATAGATATACTGTATTTTGTTGTTTTAGCAAGTATAGTACAATAAGATATATTTTGTGTTGTTTTTGCGAGTATAGTACAATGAGGTATATACAGTATTGTGTTGTTTTAGCGAATACAGTACAATAAGGTATATATTGTGTTGTTTAAGCGAGTATAGTACAATGAGGTATATATTGTATTGTTCTAGCAAATGTAGTATAATGAGGTATATATTGTGTTGTTTTAGCGAGTATAGGACAATGAGGTATATATTGTGTTGTTTAAGCGAGTGTAGTTCAATTATGTTGTTTTAAATGTGTAGTTCAATATGAATGGTTGTTTTTAGACAATAATGTACTATGATGTATATGTTGTTTAAGTGAGCCTAGTACAACAAGATATGAATTATAAAATTAAATAAATATTCATTTTATAATCATCAATAGGAATCGTTGAGAAAAGTAGTAAAGATGTTTATTTTGCTCTTCCGACAACTTCAATTTTCAAGACACTCCTAAGCAAGATGACTGTGTATTTGGGCTTTTTATGTTTTGTTAAAACTAAAAATGTGATATGCGATAATCTGGTCATATTTTAGAAAAGATATCGAAGGTTTACAAAATTTTCATCACGTGGCAGGTGTAACAGGCTAAAATTGGATGCCTATAGACACTTTCATGGTAGAGGTAGACAAGAGGCCCAAAAGCCTTAATAGCTCACCTGGAATTAGTTATTTCAAGTAAAATGCTTTTAAAAACCCTACATTTATACCAAGTTTATAGATTCGTCAGGAGTTGTTTGACGCTTTTGCAATATTAATCCTTGTGACCTCATCTATAGCTCCAGGCCATTTTTGTTTGCTCAATTTGTAAAGCTCCACAAAAAAAATCTATAAGCTTAATATCATGACTCTGAACCTTTTCGTTCCACTGAAGAAGTCATATGAAATTATTGGCTTATTTAACCCTGTGATATTGAAAGTGTATCAAGGTAATTTTGTTCGCAAACTTTGTTTTACACCATCCAAGGAATCTACTAGTCTTATACCATGAATGTAGGCATTTCGGTTCTTCAGAAAAAGTTGTTTGAACTTAATATAATATAATAATAATAAAAAATAGTATACCTCTAATGACTTTAAAGTAAAAAATGTCATTTTCGTTTGCAAAAATTATTGGGCTCCATCCCAGGAATCTAAAGTCTATAATATCACAACTCGAGGCCTTTCGGTTTCAGACATATTTGACCTCTGTGGCCTTGAAAGTAGGTCAAGGTAGTTTTGTCGCAAACTTTGAAAGGCTCAATTCAACGAAGCGACCAGCCAAATATCATGACAGTAGGCCTTTTGATTTTTTTAGGTAGGTAAAGTCGTTTAAAGGAAATGTTGTCGACGGACGGACGACGGACGGACGGACGACGGACGCTGCGCTCACTTTGCCCTTCGAGTCAGGAAAGCTAAACATGAACACTAGATAATTCAGTTTTAACAGCTTAATAGGTACTTACTTATAAAACGTTGAGACTGACAGACTCACTCGATCAAAAAAGGCAGCCGACACCTACCAATAGAAACACATCTTGTATACGGAAACATGTGCCAAATTACCGCATCATTAAGTGTAAAAAGAATTTCAGGGTTTTTTCAGCGACGTCACTGTTCAATACGTTTACTATTGTTAACAAATTGATAAATTAGGACTAAATTCTTTTTGTCAGCAACTATTAATTTACAGCACAAAGGTTAAAGACAAGCACCAAAAATCCTAAATGAGGTTGAAGTCCTACTTTCGGACATATACCTGGCTTGCCTCTGTGGTTCAACCTCTTATAATAGTTTTATTACACTTGTGCTTTTCTAAATTGTGTTATAACCTTTTTTGTAAGTCTCAGCGTAAATAATCATCATTATCATCATGAAAAACTCCGTTCAATCCCTATATCTATAATTTGATTTCTTTTTGACGTGTGTTTTTTCACTATTCAAATTATATTAATCTTGGGGTTGCTGTTGTCATTATGCACTGATGAAACTTGTATACATCTTTTCATTACTTACAAATTTTTAAACTCATAGAAAATAATTAATTGCAGACTTTTTCACTGTTCGGGAGGTCCACACATTATATATGTTTTCCAAGACATCTATCTATAGCAGTAATGGAGTTGTATTACAATTGTTATTTGTTATTGTGACGCAACAAAGCAAAATAGTACCTATAACATAACATGGAATTTTTACTGTGAAAAATAATGTTGGGTGAATAACAAACGTATTTCATGATATAGATGGATACTGTCAGAAAATAGACAAAGCCTACGCAGTTTTCAACAATCAATATTATTACCAGTTATAAAATGGTACTATGGTATTACAACATGCCCTGCACAAGTGTAACTTACCTTTATAGGAACCATAGTGAAATTTACTTCCTCCTCAGAAAGGATTAGGTGATCCCGGGGTAATGAAAATCACGATTATAAGAAAGGATTAGGTGATCCCGGGGTAATGAAAATCTCCATTATAAGAAAGGATTAGGTGATCCCGGGGTAATGAAAATCACCATTATAAGAAAGGATTAGGTGATCTGGGGGTAATGAAAATCACCATTATAAGTAAGGATTAGGTGATCCCGGGGTAATGAAAATCACCATTATATGAAAGGATTAGGTGATCCCGGTGTAATGAAAATCACCATTATAAGAAAGGATTATGTGATCCCGGGGTAATGAAAATCACCATTATAAGAAAGGAGTAGGTGATCCCGGGGTAATGAAAATCACCATTATAAGAGAGGATTAGGTGATCCCGGGGTAATGAAAATCACCATTATAAGAAAGGACCTTAGAGCTTCTCCACCTAGGATGATTATCTGATTTTAACATATCTTGGTAAAATTATTCGCCAAATTGTTTATTTGGGAAACCCGTCCCCGACACCGAGGGAGAGAGGCAGCATTGTTAATGAATTAAACCAGGAACAAATCATTTCCATCTGAATTAAACCAGGTATAAATCATCTCCTTCTGAATTAAACCAGGTATAAATCATTTCCTTCTGAAAATTTGCAAAAGGTGATCAAAAGTCTACTTCCCTGTGTTATAAACTACAGAAAATTAACAAAAGTGGTATTGTATTTTGTAACTACTTAGCCAAAATTGAAGATATAGTAGATGATCTGAAGTAGCATTCTCACCCAGTCTTCCCATGTTCCTTTAGGGTTCTGAGCCCTGTACGGTTCAATCCTACCAAGAAGAATCTCGCATGCTTCCTGTTGACAATAGAGGACATTGTTTACTGGCGTTATTTAGATTTCCGATAAAAAACATCATAATTGTCAACAAAACAATCTTTTGCTGTGATACGTTATTATGTAAGCAGAACATGCATAACAGATATTGAAATACATTCATCTAATTATTGATGATTAGGTATCTTGTGACAAAAAGTTAAACAAGTAACAACTTGTTTTTGCAGAACATAAATAGATGTCTCCCTTTTAAATGAGACACATAATGAAGATAGGAACAATTGACATGATAGACAGAACAACATGGACCTCTCTGCTTTATATATTTTACAGCAGTTATAAAACAAAACTTTCCCATATATATATGGATCAAACTCGTGTGCCAGATAGAGTGCAGAAGGTCTTAATGCAGCAGGAAACTGGAATACTTTAAATCCCCCCTTTTTAAAACAAATAGTCTCCAACTACACAAATGTTTTTATGCACTATTGCTTTCATAAAGATCAACAAAACAAATTTCGTATGGTCTAAAAACAGTATAGAGAGCATTGACCTTGATGGCCATCCCGTTGAGGTCGGAGCTGGCGCTGGCTGCTGTCGGCGAGGTGTTTGGGACAGTGTTAGTAGTTGTCTCACTGATATGGATTTTCGACATAGAAATCTTCAAAGCTCTGCTGGCCACCTTAAATGGAAATATTGAAGTACTGATAAGTTTTCATAATAATTATATATTAATGCTCTTTGTTTTCATGCCTCTAACATTATTGCCAAATGAAGAAGACTTCAGACTTTCAAAGAAAAGATGAAAACATAATACGATAGAGTTTCTGCAAACGTTTATTCGTTGTCGTCATTGTAATGTACCCAGTATAGCATGTGTAAATGGTTCCTTTCCTCTTCATAATGTGGGGTCTTAAGTGCTGTGTTTCTTACATGTTTTCATTAAGTAAGCACTTCAAATCTGGTTTACGTACCAAGGTCTCAGGGTCTGTATTTATACTATCAGCTCATACCTTCAGTGAGATAATTGAATATGTCCGAACAAAAGGTCAGATATGTTTTGCAGCAAATAAAGATCGAATAGTTTAATGTAGTGTTGCATCACTGTGTCCTTCAACTGATTATATATAGCCTAGCTATGGGTACACAATTCTGGATAACTGAAAGTAGATACGATTCCAACTTGGCTGGATACGATATTCTAAGCAAATGCAGGTGAATAAGATTAAGTAAAGTATGATACCTGTATCATCTTGGTATGGAGGCCCTGTCCCATCTCTGTCCCCCCATGAGCAATCAGCACTGAACCGTCTCGGTAGATCATCACCAAAGCCCCCGCCTGTCACATTAACGTTATGATGTTTGAAACATCAGTTCATTATTGTTTTTATTCTAACATAGAAGCATTCAACATTCCAATTGAAATTGATATTTTTCATTTGTGAAGTTTTATTGTTTTCTCTCTGTCACATCATTACATTCCGATAGCCATTCAAAGTCTTAGAGCTTTGATTTATACAGTGAACATTGCATACAGTGACAGACTAGTCACCTCTTTCAAATACCTCCCAGTCCAAACATTATCATTATTTATTTCAGAAAAGGAGATCCCTTATAATATACTTGCACAACAAAATTCTATATTTTAAAACACTTTTTTTACGCTTAAAAACATTATTGTTTAATATCACATACTTGATTCATGAATTTCGCAGTGAAGGATATTCCAAATTTGACAGGGATTACAGATATACCTCTTTTCTTCCAACGGTTTTCACTGCAACAATAAAAATTATGCAACTATCATATATGAAATGACACTGAGGCATATTTCTTACAAGTTAATTAATGTTTCTATATTTCTACATACTTTATACATAAGTATATAGGGGTTAACGTCAAATCAACAGCATAAAGAGGTGGCTCAATATATGTTATATATAACTCGGTGTTCTTAACAATCTCATGGTGTATTTAACCCTGGTGCGCGGGATGTATGCGAGTGTGCTGGAGACAATATTCATGTGTATATCCATGTGTGTAATGTATGCCTGTGTGTTGAAGGAGGTGTGCTTGTGTGTATATATCCATGTATGTCATGTATGCCTTTGTGCTAGAGGAGGTGTGTTTGTGTATATATATCCATGTGTATAATGTATGCCTGTGTGTTGAAAGAGGTGTTCTTGTGTGTATATATCCATGTATGTCATGTATGCCTGTGTGTTGAAAGAGGTGTGTTTGTGTGTATATATCCATGTGTGCAATGTATGCCTGTGTGGTGAAGGAGGTGTGCTTGTGTGTATATATCCATGTATGTCATGTATGTCTGTGTGTTGAAAGAGGTGTGTTTGTGTGTATATATCCACGTATGTCATGTATGCCTTTGTGCTAGAGGAGGTGTGTTTGTGTATATATATCCATGTGTGTAATGTATGCCTGTGTGTTGAAGGAGGTGTGCTTGTGTGTATATATCCATGCGTGTCAGGTATTCCTGTGTGTTGAAAGAGGTGTGTTTGTGTGTATATATCCATGTGTGCAATGTATGCCTGTGTGGTGAAGGAGGTGTGCTTGTGTGTATATATCCATGCGTGTCAGGTATTCCTTTGTACTAGAGGTGTGTTTGTGTGTATATATCCATGTATGTGATGTATGTCTGTGTGTTGAAAGAGGTGTGTTTGTGTATATATATCCATGTGTGCAATGTATGCCTGTATGATGACGGAGGTGTGGTTCGTATATATATATCCATGTGTGTAATGTATGCCTGTGTGGTGAAGGAGGTATCTTTGTGTGTATATATCCTCGTGTGTCATGCATGCCTGTATGTTTAAGGAGGTGTAATTGTGTATATATATCCATGTGTGTCAGGTATGCCTGCATGCTTGAGGAGGTGTGTTTGTGTATATATATCTATGTGTGTAATGCATGCCTGTGTGTTGGAGGAGGTGTACTTGTGTGTATATATCCATGTATGCCATGTATGCCTGTGTGTTGAAGGAGGTGTAATTGTGTATATATATATAATAATATGTGTCATGCATGCCTGTATGTATACATACATATAGAAAAAATAAGATTAACGACCGACTAAAAAACTAGCTGCTTTCACCCTTCACAGGGCTCTTCAGGTTTATTCAAAATAACAAAGTCGTGACGTCACAATTACATGTCATCACACTACAATAGTAACGTGACGTCACGAAGTACACAAGATTGGTGGACAATTTAGCGTAAAATTTTACTGTGGCCTGTTGAGACTTGGTTTTAATATTTAGATTAGTTTGTCTTCTTTCGTTTATCTTAAAATAATGTCTGATGAAAATAGTTGATACAAAGGTAATACATTAAATTTATCTCCAGCACATTCATGAATATGTTTGTTAACATGAAGATTTCGTAAAGAATCAATTCTAGTTTGTTGTCTATGTACAGTCATACGTGTTCTAATTCATTACCGGTTTGACCGATGTAAAAATCACCACATTTAGAACAAACTATTGCATAAATTACATTTTTTGGATTTACAATTCATATTTACCTTCACAGTTAATTTAAAACCATTCTTGAAAATATATTCATGTGTGTCATAATTGCCTGTATTATGAGACGCCCGCCTCGCAAACTAGAGAAAATGCGCCAGCTAGAGATACTGGACGGAAATTACAACCTACGACATCATATGCTGAAAGTGTTAAAACACCTGTCTACTCTGTGAAGAAGTCAACAACAGCGACTAAACACTACAGCGTCACTCGTCCGAAACTTCATAGATTTGCGAAAGAAAAAGCTTACAGTAGGCAAGACGACATTTCAGGAACACATGGAATCTATCGTAAATCGATGACGACATATATAGGCCAAAGTGTAAACAACCATTTTTTAGGACATTGTCCAACTGTAAACAAAGGCAGAGGAACAAAAAGAAGGAGCTACGTCACCCAAGAGACAAAATTAAAACAAATATGGTAGAGGGAGTTCTCCCTAAGGTAATTAATCTATCTAAAAGAAAATTAACAAAAGATGAAATTGTTTGCTATCGAAGGGTCTTAAATTTTGTCCAACACCAGATAAAAACGATAATGAAGACCTTCAGGCGGACATTCTAAAATATTCTGCAGAAGACTTCGTCTATGCGATAAGTTTTGTGACGAAGACGGTGATAGCGAACCGTTGGAAACAACGGCGTTAGTCCATAACAATTCGCAATGGAATCCACCAAGAAGTTCGGACAAATATTAAGAAGAGGTCATTGATAGTTAAAAAAAGATTCCTTTACATAATGATAATCATAAACACGTAAAAAGTAAAATGTCTTACAGACAGAAATGTGCTTTGGATTCTTTAGGAAATGATACCTCTATTATTATCAAACCGGCTGATAAAGGCAATGCAGTAGTGGTCATGAATAGAGATTTCTATTATAAATGCATACATAACATGCTTAGTAATGTTGAATTTTATGCTTCGGCAAGTGACGATTTCGATGCGGAAACCCGTATATTAATCAACGAGCTAATACGGACACATGAAGCATGCCTTAATGAAAAGGAGATAGATTATCTTGTCAATTTTATGCATAAAACTAGTTATTTCTATGGTTTGCCTAAAATCCACAAAACCTCTATTATAAGTAACGCTATAGAAGAACAAAACTGTACATATTGAATTTGAAAATTCTACGGATTTGAAGTTTAGACCCATAGTAGGCGGCCCTAATAGTGCAACGCAACGTTTGAGTCATCTTGTAGACCTCATTCTTAAACCTTTATGCACAAGTGTAAACAGTTATATCAAAGACGATTTTGACTTTCTGAGCCGTTTATCTAAACAGGTCCCACATAATGCTAAACTTGTTTCTTTTGATGTTGTTAGTTCTAGACTCTAGACATTGTCCTCAATCGTAATTCTTTTTATTTTGAACAAGAATACTTTCAACAGATTAAGGGTACAGCGATGGGAACTAAAGTTGCCCCTACATATGCAACCTTAGTTTTATGATACTTAGAGGAAACACTTTATTCTAAGTTTGAAACAAAGTTTGGGGAAAACTTTACTGAATTTATCAGAAATAATTTTGTAATGTTCCTTCACGATTGATTTGTTATATGGCCTTCTGATAAGAATTTAAATGAATTTCAAAACCTATTGAATTCTTTACATCCTTCTATTTGTTATACGATGGTGTGTAGCGAAACGTCTTTACCTTTCTTAGATGTTTAAGTTCAACTAGATACAAATAAGACTACAAAGGATTTATATTGTAAGGGCTACAGATGCACATAATTATCTAAATGTTTACTCTAACCACAGTTAACACACTAAAGTTAATATTCCTTTTAATCTTGCCTCACGGATTGCCACTATCGTCAGTGACCAACAAGCTCAAATTGCTAGACTCAGTCAACTAAAGCAATACCTTAAAGCTCAATGTTCTCCTACTGAGATAATAGAACATGGTATACAGAAAGCTATTGAAAAGGGACCCTTTACTTCCCGTCTACAAAAACTAAAGGATGAATCAAAGTGAGTTCCTTTTGTTTCTTCTTTCAATCCACGGAATTGTAATATGTTTCCTGTGATAAAGAACAAATGTGAAGAGTTAAAGCAAAGTAGCAGGCGTATGAGAAACATTTTTAATAAACATGCTATTTTACACTGTAGACGCCAACCTAAAAACTTGAAACGTATGTTGACATGTTCTAAGTTTGATAATTCTTGTGTAACACCAAAAGTATCCAAATGTAAGACACCAAGATGTGCTACATGTCCTATGATTATCGAGTGTAATACTTTTATTTTCAAGAATGGTTTGAAATTTACTGTGAAGGTAAATATGAATTGTAAATCAAAAAATGTAATTTATGCAATCGTTTGTTCTAAATGTGGTGATTTTTACATCGGTCAAACCGGTAATGAACTCAGAACACGTATGACTGTACATAGACAACAAACTAGAACTGATTCTTTACGAAATCTTCATGTTAACAAACATATTCATGAATGTGCTGGAGATAAATTTAATGTATTACCTTTGTATCAACTATTTTCATCAGACACTATTTTAAGATAAACGAAAGAAGACCAACTAATCAAAATATTAAAACCAAGTCTCACAGTAAAATTTTACGCTAAATTGTCCACCAATCTTGTGTACTTCGTGACGTCACGTTACTATTGTAGTGTGATGACATGTAATTGTGACGTCATGACGTTGTTCTTTTGAATAAACCTGAAGAGCCCTGTTAAGGGTGAAAGCAGCTAGTCTTTTAGTCGGTCGTTAATCTTATTTTTTTCTATATTTTCTTCCTTCACATGGACATTTAATTATAGATACATATATATATATGTGTGTAATGTATGCCTGTGTGTTGAAGGAGGTGTAATTGTGTGTATATATATCCACGTGTGTAATGTATGCATGTGTGCTGAAGGAGGTGTAATTGTGTGTATATATATATATGTGCGTAATGTATGCCTGTGTGCTGAAGGAGGTGTAATTGTGTATATATATCCACGTGTGTAATGTATGCCTGTGTACTGAAGGAGGTGTAATTGTGTGTATATATCTATGTGTGTAATGTATGCCTGTGTGTTGGAGGAAGAATGTAGGTTAATTTACACCAGATGTGTCATCTATCGCTGTTCGCTTGAGGTGTGCTGGTGTATTCGTATTAGTGTGTTTAATGGCTCCGTGATCACTCAATATGATCTACCGACCTGTTGAAGATTTCGACCTCCCGACTTCTTCGATGGACCTCACTGCGTTGTAAACATTCCTCCCAGCACCGTCGTATGTTACAATTATCAAGAGGCTGGTTAAAATGGGTTAGGTCTCCCTCATTGTACATGTTTATTTCCCTCACCTAGAAAAACAATCACATACATCTACCCTTAGTTGTGGAATAACAGTCAGCTCAAAAATTTCTAAACTCCTGAGTGTAGTTTTTTTCTATCCTTATACTTATATAATGATGTTTATTTGACTGTCTCTTACGCAGGAATTTGGTGAAGATCGACATTGATATTACAAATGGAACCAAAAATATGAGTAGATTTGCGTACATAGCGTACAAATTAACCAAGAAGACATTTAGAACAGCAGGAAAAATAATTAAATATACCAGAGGTATGCTGTAAGATTAAAGTTTGTTTAATAATTGCTCAGTTAATGACATCCAGAAGGCGTCTCGCTTCAGAAAATCACCTTAAAACGTACACTTTAACTTCAAAGATTTCTTTCATGCCCTCCCTTGCCAGGTTTTACATAAAAGTGTAGCTCTCAAACTGGGGTTCTAAGGTACACTTATGTTGGTATAATGAAATATATTATCTTCAACCGAGAACAATCAAGTTGGACAAGGAGTAAACTTCTATGATATAATCCCAACTGAAGCGAAGCTGAGGTATGGATGTTACAGAATATTAGCCCCAGGCTGAGGTAGCAGAGTACAGTAGCGTACGGTGGCCATGGGTGATTTTTTTATACAATGAATAACACATGTAATATAACATGTATAAAAAAAAAATAAAAAAATCAGCACTAAAATTGGCATATACATGATGAAGTGGACTATGTGGGCTTCATAATTTTTCAAAAAATAATAATTTGAATTTGGTTTGAGACTACAGTTTTGGGCATTTACAAATCTGTGTCTACACAACAAAAGCTAGCTTTTCATGTAGTCTATTTTTGTACTCAGCACATGTGTAAATATTGTGAAAAATCCACCGGAATGACCTATGCTAAACCTGAGTATTTCTGTTACCAAATAGGCGATATTTAACTTCAGACAGGTTTTAAGAAAAAAAATCTACTTGCGGGGGTCAAATATTTTAGGGTCAAGCCATTTCTACTGTACTCTGCTACCTTATAAACACAGACATTTATTTTTTTCTGAAAAAAAGCCTTTTTATCCTTGATTCAGCTTCACTTTCATTCATTATTGCTTAAAACTACTCAAAAACGTTTAAAAAGTTACATATATAGGTCAATATATAGGTCAATAGCCTATTACCTGTGGATGTATAAAGGGGGGTAACTCGCCCTTTTCACAGGCACTTCACAATTCATCACATATGTGTCAGTTGCGCAATTGGTAAAGTTGATACCAAACAACAAAAAATTCACAGGTTATTTCCTGATGCATTCAGACTAGATTTCAGTCTGTTTCACTCAGTTCAGCACCTGTTATCCTGGTTATTAACACATAAAGTTGTATTTATTGAAAATGGGTAAAATATCTGTTTTCATTCTAATTACACTATTTTATGTTTTTTTCCCACTTGATTCAGCATACAGATTAAATTAACAAAGTCAATAATGTCAACAAATTTTATTTCCATAAATACAGCTGAAGAAAACTTTTTTTTCTAGTGAAATATGTTAAATGAACAATGTCTGGGGTCACTGTCAATTCTAGGCGAGGAAAGTAAACAACGGTCGCTATGGTGTCATTTGTCTGATGTTTCAGAATATCTGACATTTTTGTGCTGTTCATCGGTTACGGGAAGTGTGTCTGTTGCTAGTTTGTTGTTGTGATTCGTTTCCTGGTATTCATTTTGATATCAGTGAGCCTTGATGATGTCATAGATGCCCATTCATGACGTCATTAGTTATGATGACAACACAGTAAATATGACGTCATCACACAAGACAGAAACATCCTAGTATCACTGTCCTGTTTTGTTTTTCATATGCATATGATCGTAAAGCATCATATTTCACCCAAAAAGAAATGTTATTCCTGAAAACTCCAAACCTATTCAAGTTTTAATTTTTCAGATTACCTACCTTTGTTGGTAGTTTGAGAGCAGAATTGGTAAAAATTCACATTTCAGGAGAATTCATATTACTCGGTCACTGTTAAGGTGAGAAAGGAAACGGATACATCTTTTTGTTCATTGTGTCATTTTCCAGACATTTAAAAGGTTTTGATTAAATTTTGGGAAAAAGAATAAGGTAGCAGAGTACAGTAGCGTACGGTGGCCATCGGTGATATTTTTATACAATGAATAACCCCTGTAATATAGCATGTATCAACATTAAAAAAAAAAAAATCAGCACTAAAGTTGGCACATATATGATGAAGGGGACTATGTGAGCTTCATATATTTCAAAAAAATAAAATCGAATTTGGTTTGAGACTACAGTTTTGGGCATTTACAAATCTGTGTCTACACAACAAAAAGCATGTAGTCTATTTTTGTACCCAGCTCATGTGTAAATATTGTAAAAAATCCACCGGAATGACCTATGCTAAAACGTGAGTATTTCTGTTACCGAATAGGCGATATTTAACTTCAGACAGGTTTTAAGAAAAAAAAATCTACTTGCGGGGGTCAAATTTTGGGTTAAAAAATATTTTGCATTTTTTGATTTTTTTTTGATGTGGTAACCATGGTTTTCACAAGTCCCAAATCTGTGGAAATCACTTTTTGAAAAAACTATCATTCTTCTACAAAAACAGTATTCAAATGTAGTTTATAAATATATATATATATATGTAGGTGTGTTGTGCAGGATGAATCAGCTATCCATGTTTATCCGAGACATGCCCTTTATTTTTAGGGTCAAGCCATTTCTACTGTACTCTGCTACCTGAAACAGCCCAATTTCGTCCTGTTATGTGTAAGGGCTTTTTCTCACCCCTCATGAGTTCACTTTTTTCATTTTATTTTAGTTTACAAATTCCTAGTATTAGAACTCAATTTGATGTTGCTCTGTATAAATAAAACACCGTTTGAATGGTTCCGCATTAATCACGTAAATTGTGCAAATAAGTGAATTAAACAGTTTTACGGTGTCGATTACATTATCTTATATCACGAATGAAAAACTAAAACACTGACAGGTCATCAAGGGCCCCGCTGTGTGACTGACTATATATCCTCCATTTAAGCAAAAGCTACGTTTACCATCTTGGACTATAGGTCATGAAAATAGGTCATGGCGTTATTCACACAGAATATATAGCCATATTTATATATGCCACCTGTGATTTTAAAGCTTTAAAACCTGAAGAATAATGAAAACATGCTCGTTTGGTATCTTATCTGAAAAATTAGCTCGTGTCCACTGTGCAAACACGGTCATATACAATGTGATTATGATAGTATACCACCTGTATCAGTGACCTTCACCTTGACATTCGGATGTTTTAAAACCCCTATTGAATATCTGTATCACAATGTATATCCATGTGAAATTGCAGAAACTTTGGCTTCTGGTTCCTGAGATAATCACTAAGTGCTTACGGACAAACAGACGGACGGACAGAGGATATACAGACATATGGACAGCATGATAACTAATTGCATATGTAGATCCCCAATTAATTCTGACCAACTTTGCTTCATAATGTTATAACAAAACGTTTACCAGTTAAAACTTCCAAAATTGGCATTGACCTTTGACCCGATGATTTTGACCTATGGTACATAATGTCACAACAAAAATGGCTAAAATACCAATAGTTTTATCTTACCTTATTAGGGGACATTTCCAGAGCAGTTGAAATGTCAGCCATGTACGTTTCTGACAGAAAATTTCCCTGCGGTCCACCAAAGCCGCGGAAAGCAGTGTTTGAAGCTATGTTGGTCCGACATAACCGTCCAGTTACTCGGATGTTTGGAATGTTGTAGCATCCATCAGAGTGGAACATTGCTCTCTCGATGACCTGTAAGCAAACATAGGTACATAGAAACACAGCTATAAGGAGACCTAGATACACAGCTACAGGAGACAAAACACAGCTGCAAGGAGACATAGGAGCACAGCTGCAAGGAGACATAGGATCACAGCTACAGGAGACATAGAAACACAGCTACAGGAGACATAGAAACACAGCTATAAGGAGACCTAGATACACAGCTATAGGAGACATAGAAACACAGCTACAGGAGACATAGAAACATAGCTACAGGAGACATAGATACACAGCTACAGGAGACATAGAAACACAGCTGAAAGGAGACCTAGATACACAGATACAGGAGACATAGAAACACAGCTGCAAGGAGACATAGAAACACAGCTGCAAGGAGATATAGAAACACAGCTGCAAGGAGACAAAGAAACACAGCTGCAAGGAGACATAGAAACAGCTGCAAGGAGACATAGAAACACAGCTGCAAGGAGACATAGAAACACAGCTGCAATGAGACATAGGCACACAGACGTAAGGAGACATAGGTGCACAGCTGTAAGGAGATATAGGTACACAGCTGTAAGGATATATAAGTACACAGCTGTAAAGAGATACAGGTACACAGCTGTAAGGAGATATAGGTACACAGCTGTAAGGAGATATATAGGTACAGAGCTGTAAAGAGACATATGTTAACAGCTGTAAGCAGATATAGGTACACAGCTGTAAGGAGATATAGGTACACAGTTGTCAGGAGATATAGGTACACAGATGTGGGGAGATATATGTACACAGCTGTAAGGAGATATATGTAAGCAGCTGTAAGGAGATATAGGTACAAAGCAGTAAGGAGATATAGGTACACAGCTGTAATGAGATATATAGGTACAGAGCTGTAAAGAGACATAAAGTTAACAGCTGTTAGGAGATATAGGTACACTGCTGTAAGCAGATATAGGTACACAGCTGTAAAGAGACATATGTTAACAGCTGTAAGGAGATATAGGTACACAGCTGTAAGGAGATATAGGTACACAGCTGTCAGGATATATAGGTACATAGCTGTGAGGAGACATAGGTACACAGCTGTAAGGAGATATATGTACACAGCTGTAAGGAGATATAGGTACACAGCTGTGAGGAGATGTAGGTACACAGCTGTGAGGAGACATAGACACAAAGCTGTAAGGAGATATAGGCACACAGCTGTAAGGAGAAATAAGTACACTTCTGTAAGGAGATATAGGTACACAGCTGCGAGGAGACATAGGCACACAGCTGTAAGGAGATATAGGTACACTGCTGTAATGAGATATAGGTACACAGATGTAAGGAGATATAGGTACACAGCTGTGAGGAGACATATGCACACAGCTGTAAGGAGATATAGGTACACAGCTGTAAGGAGATATAAGTACACTGCTGTAAGGATATATAGGTACACAGATGTAAGGAGATATAAGTACACAGCTAAAAGGAGATATATGTACACAGCTGTAAGGAGATATAGGTACACAGCTGTGAGGAGATGTAGGTACACAGCTGTGAGGAGACAAAGGCACATAGCTGTAAGGAGATATAGGCACACAGCTGTAAGGAGATATAAGTACACTACTGTAAGGTGATATAGGTACACAGCTGCGAGGAGACATAGGCACACAGCTGTAAGGAGATATAGGTACACTGCTGTAGGGAGATATAGGTACACAGATGTAAGGAGATATAGATACACAGCTGTGAGGAGACATAGGCACACAGCTGTAAGGAAAGATAGGTACACAGCTGTAAGGAGATATAAATACACTGCTGTAAGGATATATAGGTACACAGATGTAAGGAGATATAGGTACACAGCTGTAAGGAGATATAGGTACACAGCTGTAAGGAGATATCGGTACACATCTGTAATGAGATATATAGGTACAGAGCTGTAAAGCGACATATGTTCACAGCTGTAAGGAGATATAGGTACACAGCTGTAAGGAGATATAGGTACACAGTTGGAAGGAGATATAGGTACACAGCTGTAAGGAAATGTAGGCACAAAGCTGTATGGAGAAATAGGTATACAGCTGTAAGGAGATATATGTACACAGCTGTAAGTAGATATAGGTACACAGCTGTGAGGAGATATATGTACACAGCTGTGAGGAGATATGGGCACACAGCTGTAAGGAGATATAGGTACACAGCTGTAAGGAGTTATAGGTACACAGCTGTAAGGAGATATAGGTACACAGCTGTGAGGAGACATAGGCACACAGCTGTAAGGAGATATAGGCACACTGCTGTAAGGAGATATAGGTACACAGATGTAAGGAGATATAGGTACACAGCTGTAAGGAGATATATGTACACAGCTGTAAGGAGATATAGGTACACAGCTGTAAGGAGATATCGGTACACAACTGTAATGAGATATATAGGTACAGAGCTGTAAGGAGATGTAGGCACACAGCTGTAAGGAGATATAGGTACATAGCTGAAAGGAGATGTAGGCACACAGCTGTAAGGAGATATAGGTACACAGCTGTAAGGAGATATAGGTACATAGCTGAAATGAGATGTAGGCACACAGCTGTAAGGAGATATAGGCACACAGCTGTAAGGAGATACAAGTACACTACTGTAAGGTGATATAGGTACACAGATGTAAGGAGATATAGGTACACAGCTGTAAGGAGATATCGGTACACAGCTGTTAGGAGATATAGGTACACAGATGTAAGGAGATATAGGTACACAGCTGTAAGGAGATATAGGTACACAGCTGTTAGGAAATGTAGCCACACAGCTGTAAGGAAATATAGGTACACAGCTGTAAAGAGACATATGTTTACAGCTGTAAGGAGATAAATTTACATTTGCATGGCATTGTCACTATATAGCCTCTTTGAAAGCTGTGTCGTTGATGGGACTTTAAATACCATGCATCACGAGACACAATTCTTAGCGTATTAATACAACACTTTACGGAATATCCAATATAAATAAACATGACGGCTGCTGAAATAACGCTGGGCATTGTGAGATTTGACAATGTCATTGTAAATTTATGTGCAAAATAAAAAATAAAATAAAAACACTTTTATTACAACGAAAACAAGACCAAGTTCTGCAATATCGTACAAAATGCATATCGGTTGAAATCACCAATGCCGGCAATAGAAACAATTTTAACGCTCTGACATGCAATTTATCAGAAATATTGTCTGTTACACTGCACTGATCAACAGGGGTTCGTTACAAATGTCTGAAATACACATATTCTATAGATCTACTGACACATATGTTACAGACCTACTGATATGAGTCACAGCACACATAAACATTTCAGACATTTGTAACGAACCCCTGTGCTCCGTCGCAAGATCACTCACTTCAAACGATATCAGTTTCATACGTCTCGCATCCACCATTCCTCAGTTTCTGACGACATCTCAAATAACGATGCTGTTATAGAATCTACCGACTGTTGTCAGGTTCCCATACAATCAACAAATAAATTCACGCCTGGATTCTTCACAAAAACTTCCAAAAATAACTCCCTCGTGGAGGGCAAGGTCGGATTTATGGTGTTCACTGTATTTGTACATGCGCGAAATTTGTTCCGGGGAAAATCGAAACAATTTCAAATCTAACTTTCAGCTCAGAGTTCTATTGATAAATTAAATCATCCTATAGACATATCAATTGTATTGATACTGAATTGTGGAATAAAATTGAAGTGTTTGTTAAAATTTCAAAGTACTACTTTGTTTGCCAATCAGCACGCGACAATACGCTGTTCAAACTATTGAACGAAATTGTGTGGACCTTCGATAAGGCGGGCATTTTTAATTTTAGATATAAATTATAAATTAAAAAAGAACATAAGAGGCAGAGAAAACGTAAATATAAGTATTGAACAGTTTTTGTATGGTATTTATGCGCGCATAATGATTGTTTGCTTGCAAAGCTGTGTCATTCAAATAGATCATAAATACCAAACAAAAACAGTTCAATGCTTAAATATGTACACAGCTGTAAGGAGATATACAATGTAGGTACACAACTGTAAGGAGATATCGGTACACAGCTGTTAGGAGATATCGGTACACAGCTGTAAGGAGATATCGGTACACAGCTGTAAGGAGATAACGGTACACAGCTGTTACGAGATATAGGTACACAGCTGTAAGGAGATATAGGTACACAGCTGTAAGGAGATATCGGTACACAGCTGTAAGGAGATATCGGTACACAGCTGTAAGGAGATATCGGTACACAGCTGTAAGGAGATATCGGTACACAGCTGTTAGGAGATATAGGTACACAGATGTAAGAAGATATCGGTACACAGCTGTAAGGAGATATCGGTACACAGCTGTAAGGAGATATGGGTACACAGCTGTTAGGAGACATATGTACATGGCTGTGAGGAGACATATATACACATATGTAAAGAAACATATTTACTCAGCTGTAAGAATACATATGTTCACAGCTGTAAGGAGACCTAGATACACAACTGTAAGAAGATATAGGTGCACAGCTGTAAGGAGACATAGGTGCACAGCTGTGAGGAGACATATGTGCACAGCTGGAAAGAGACATAAATACACATGTGTAAAGAGACATAGATACTCAACTGTAAGGAGACATAGGTTCACAGCTATAAGGAGACATATTACTGGTACACCTCTGCACGGAGATATCTACCAGATACACACCTGTACGGCGATATATACCTGGTAAACATCAGTAAGGCGAAAATAAATAGTATATAACCGTACGATGACATATATGGTACACACCTGTTTAGAGACATATACCTGGTACACACTTATAAGAAGATATATAACTAGTACACACCTAGAAAGAGATATATACCTGATACACATATATTAAGAGACAATTACCTCATACACACATGTCAGGAGACATGCACCTGGTATATACCTGTAAGGAGACATATACCTGGTACACACCTGTCAGGAGACATGCACCTGATATATACCTGTAAGGAAACCTATACCTGGTACACACCTGTCAGGAGACATGCACCTGGTATATACCTGTAAGGAGACCTATACCTGGTACGCACCTGTCAGGAGACATGTACCCGGTATATACCTATAAGGAGACATATACCTGGTACACACCTGTCAGGAGACATGCACCTGGTGTATACCTGTAAGGAGACCTATACCTGGTACGCACCTGTAAAGAGACATGAACCCGGTATATACCCGTTGTACACATCAAAGGATACATATACCTGGTACGCTCCTTACATCCAAGGATCGTGAATTTAGTCGATTATTCAAATTGCATTTCGTACGATAAATGTACTAGACTGATCATCGGTTATAACATTACTCCATAAAGAGTTCAGAGGTCCGGATACTGCCGTCAATCCGTTACATTGTCAACTCTTGTTAAACTTAATTTATAGTCAGTTGTAACGTCAGTGTCTATGTCGCCATAGACTCTAAACGTATCTCGATAACTAACAAAAAAACTTACAGGTCTGGATAAGTCCAGAGAACAACCCACATTGGAGTATATATCCATGTCTAAAGCGAGAATCCTCCCATCCTTTGTAAATCCAACCTAGGGGGCAGATATAAATAATATGATTACAATGTAACTTGTATAAATGTTAACAAATATTACACAGGTTACATATTTATAAAGATCATATTGCATTATTTGTTCTATATCTAATTTCTTTAAAACAAACTAAAAATAAATAGGATGAGGAGCAGCTCCAAACTTCAATAAATACCCTCAGTGAAATTTCATTAAAAATATGCACCAAAAGCCGTTTTAATCAGCTGATGAACACCTTCAGTTGTCATACTATTTATTTGCTTCATAAGACTAACTAAAGGTAAATGTGGTTGTTTACATGTGCTAAAATGCTATACAAACTAAATCACTGTAACATATTAATAACTTTAAAGCTTTACAAAATAAAGTGTATAAAAACATGAATAAAACGTTTTTATTGATAGACAGTTATTGTGATTGTAACGATATGTTCCAGCTTACCTTGTACTTGCCGTAGAAGGGATGTCTACCGCCTGAGGAAATCATGTCCTCATCTCTGTCCAACATACACTTCACAGGGCGTCCATGCCTAACACAATACATATACAAGGCCATAAATTCTGTATAGCACTCGAAATACATTTGTAATTCTACCACGTTAGCGATGTAATGACACTTTCCATTGGTTAATAACCATGGATTGTTGGACGAAATACTATGCGTGCGTGCGTATTATTTTCAAAAAATGTCCTCCGCAAATGCACCGGTAAACAAGCGAGTATTGGAGCTGGTTTCATTTATCGATTAAGTCGGATACCCACATTTAATTTTGTATGTATTTAAATATTTGCTAGCGGGAATATGAATAGATTTTACCTCTAGATCTACTTAAAATCTGTCAAGCTCATGGTCAGAATGTTATGCTGAATTTACTGCGAAGATGACTAGAAATAGCGTTTTTAAATCTGTCAAATTCTGATTTCATATGTTGATGAGCGGTGTCAATAGATTGGTGGATATTATTGATTGGAATTAGCATCTGGCATAAAGCATGACGTCAGTGGTAATTGTTTATCGTCTGTCGACAGAATGGTGACAGAAAATTATAAATCCTACCCAAATATATCATGGTTAGTTTGAACTGCACTCAGGGTCAGAAATGATAAAAACGCGCAGCTTGTTCTAAAATGAATACATGTAGACATCACGTGACAAATGAAATCGCGCACAAAAGAACAGCTTCATTGACATTATTATATTATACATATGTATCTAGGTCTCGTTGCTTATCAAAGGCTTACGGACACTGAGGTAACCACGAAAAAGGCTTTCGTCACATTCTACTTAGTAAAATAGATATAGATAATACATAATATATCTATATTTATAACTATTCCTCTATAATATATAAAAACATGCCATAAACATGTCTTGATTAAATCGGAATTCGAAAAGGTTGGGAAAATAATCAACTCAGATCGCAAACGATCTTCGTTGATTATAGTTTCAATCATTTGTTTACCCTCGTTCCACGATAATACACGCATAAACGTTTATTATTGTTTAAGCAATTATGACTTTTTGAACTTTGTTTTTTATAAAAAAAAATTTTTTTTTTTTTTTGTCAATTTAAATTTTCACAACAAGGGACCCAAATGCCTAAATGATCGTTTCGGTGTTTTTTTTTGTAATTCCGCTAAGTTGGGAAGATTTGTTTACTTGCATATGCGCATTGTTTGTGCACTTGGAGAACGAGTGTGTTGTAGGTTCCTACCAGTACAGAGGTGTTTTCTGTTCATTTTTACATAAATAGGAATCGACGTTTTTAATTTTAGTTCACGACAGAGTGAAATAAAATATGCCACTGTTAGCAATAAAAACAATTAGCCAACTGAGGTATATTGAAGCCGTAGGACCTCTGGAAGAGTATATGGTAGCCATCTAGGAAAGAAAGAAATTGTCGAAATAGCAGACAGAGGAGGTTGTGATGTGATAGGGGAGAATTTTGCCAACCCTATTTCGGACTGTACTGATTATTATTTGCCTGTAACTAAGGGTCCAACCCAATTAAAGGGGAGGTAATCAGCAACGAGGATGCTAAGGTAGTTAGATATTACAAGTAAGATTTACAGCATATGTTTCTAGGTCATCAAGAGAACTTCGTTTTCATGGGAGAATTCCTTCATACGGATTTAACTAAACTACGGAAGCGGACTGTAGTTTTCAACACTTTACACAGTCGTCATGTATATATGGAGCAGGATAGTTTGGTAGGCCTTTAGGCAGCGAAGACCTTTCTACTTCTACTTTAACGGCAAAGAGGTTGACAACTGTCATGACAAGGTAACAAACTTGTCCTCAAGCAACCAGACAGCTCCAGGATCCAGGAGCAGCATGTCTATTGGTTAGAACTAATCCTCCTTAAACATTAGCTGACAGTTAAGAAAATTGAAAGTTAGTCAATCAAAATCCAATAACTGGGAAAACAAATTAAGAGTTTATAAAGACTTTTAGTAAAACACATAGCATATTTGTAATGTAATAGAAAGTTGTTATTTTATACAATTTTCGAACAGCTTTCTAGTTCGTTTTCAAGTAATAAAAAGTCAGCGATATGTCTATTGGTATGACCATTTGTACACACTGCCATAGAAAAATAAGCTAAGTTATACCTATAGTTGATGGAAATGTGCTTGGTGGAAGTTCAATATCACCATTAATTCCATTTGGGGACGGGGATAAATCCTAATTGGTCAAACTGCGCCACGAGTGGACTAGGAGTCCCGATTGTCCAATCAAGTAACGTCACGCTTGACGTCTCATATAGAGTAAGCTCAAATATTTTATCAATCGCAAACGACAATATTTTAATAACTAAAGTAAATATCTAGATGACCCTTTTCTATATATATATATATATCGTTTCGGCAGTCATTGCGTATGGTCCAAACAGTGAGCATCTCCAAACCTCTATCGTACATCGAGTTGTGACCACAGCGTACTAAATTGTAATGTCTTTTATTTTTTCACCTAGCATGTTAACAAGATATTCAAACAAAGGCAGATTTATACGTTTAAATATTTTAAATATTTTGAGTTTTCATGAAAGTTGATGATTGATTGATATATAAAAGAACAACGCACTGATTCATACTACAATTTCTACATTTGAAACCAACGTGTACCTATCCGTACTGGACATTTTAACGATAAGAGTGATGCGTGAAAAACCACAGCATACCAATACAAACTGAAAACTCAGCATTGTAATAAATATTAAACAGGTGGTCAACAACGCAAAAGGCAAGGAATTTGGTAGAAAGTCTATAATAGGCAAAGTATAGAGCGATATGCTAACTCATCTATAAGACTTCTCCGGACACCATCAGCCAATCAGATGTCAGGAGGCCCGTTACATATCCATGATATTTTGCATTACAGGATGCCATTTAGCTGAAGAGTTGATAAAGCAAGCTTTAATTCTACTTACTTTGCCGCTGCTATGGCAACAGGTACACTGTAAATGACGTTACGAGTCTCCTTTCCGCCAAACCCTCCACCTGTATATAAGAAGGACATTTTATCCGGACGCCATGGACATCGGCTTTTAAGGGTAAATTTCAAAGTGCAAAAATACACAAGTTTTAAGTTTTTTTCCTGTACAGCATTAATCACAATTTTATTTCAGGTAAAATAGCAAGAATTTTCATGGATTATTTTTCTGTTCAAAATTGTACAATTTCACGGTAACTGTGGGAAACATTTCCATTTAACTATACAGTTTTCATTCTAAACAAATACATATCAGAATGAATATTTTATGCATAAAATATTCCACCAACTTATTTTATCTCCTCTCACTTTTACCAAGTTTGTTGAATTAATACCATATATGCTGCATTATTAAATCGTCAAGGCTGTAATCCGTGGTTTGTAAATGTCAGTCCATGCAATACACAGGGTGTCACCTGGGTTGGAGTGGGCTCTGGGGGCTAATAAGCAGTACAATTGGGAGCTGATGACAGGTGACTATCAAACAGATATGGCCATTGACGTTAAACAGGAAAATAATAGTATTATCAAAAACAATAGAAAAAGGTCTATTGAAGCTATAAATCGATAAAAGCCAGTCCTTTGGAAAATTCACAAACGGTATCAGATATCGGGGTCATATGTATGTTTGGCGTTAGTAGAACGGTGATAGGTATTTTATGTCTAGAGCCTGATGCCTGAAATGAACGTAAATACAGAAACAAATAATTTTGCAAAAAACTCAAAAATGCGCAGTAATTTTATCGTCATGTAAACCAATCAGACGTTAGAATTACAAATACTGCGCCAAACATTGCGGTATACGACGTCATCACCTTTTGTGTTTTAGGTTATACAACATATCCTGAAGAAGTCTACCATCGGGTCAATAGTCAACATATATATTTAATTGCTACAGTATAAGTAGATGTTCTTTTTTATAGTTAGAGTAAAAGTATCTATTTATAATATTCTACAGTATCAGGAAGGTATTATTTTATTGCAACAGCATTAGGTAGATGGTTCTTTTATTGATACATATAAGTAGATAGATACAAATGTAGTATACTGCTACCTTATAACTACAGTATAAGGTCGGTAGTATTTTATTGCTATAGTATAAGTTAGGTAGTATTTTATAGCTTAAGTATAGTGTAAGTAGTATTTTATTGCTACAGTATAAGGTAGGTCGTATTTTATTGCTACAGTATAAGGTAGGTTTTATTTGATTGCTACACTATAAGGTAGGTAGTATTTTATTGCTACAGTATACGGTAGGTAGTATTTCATTGCTACAGTATAAGGTAGGTGGTATTGTATTGCTACAGTATGAGGTAGGTAGTATTTCATTGCTTCAATATAAGGTAGGTGGTATTTCATTGCTACAGTATACGGTAGGTAGTATTTCATTGCTACAGTATACAGTAGGTGGTATTGTATTGCTACAGTATGGGGTAGGTAGTATTTCATTGCTTCAATATAAGGTCGGTGGTATTTCATTGCTACAGTATACGGTAGGTAGTATTTCCTTGCTACAGTATACAGTAGGTAGTATTGTATTTCTACAGTATACGGTAGGTAGTATTTCATTGCTACAGTGTACAGTAGGTAGTATTGTATTGCTACAGTATAAGGTAGGTGGTAATGTATTGCTACAGTATAAGGTAGGTGGTATTGTATTGCTACAGTATAAGGCAGGTGGTATTGTATTGCTACATTATAAGGTAGGTGGTATTGTATTGCTACATTATAAGGTAGGTGGTATTGTATTGCTACAGTATAAGGTAGGTGGTATTGTATTGCTACATTATAAGGTAGGTGGTATTGTATTGCTACATTATAAGGTAGGTGGTATTGTATTGCTACATTATAAGGCAGGTGGTATTGTATTGCTACATTATAAGGTAGGTAGTATTTCATTGCTACATTATAAGGTAGGTAGTATTTCATTGCTACAGTATACGGTTTTACTTCTACTGTATAAGGTAGATATACAGCTATTTGTGATTGCACTTTGCCATCTGAACAAAATATTTGCAAACCAAAGCTAGTTACTCCAGGTGAAAAAGTATAAAGAATAATGTATGCCTGTTAAGGATTAGATCAAAGGTAAACGCATAGATTGCAGTGACCTGTTTTTGTACTTGACATTCCACCATCCAAAGGTGTACTTCCATACCAAACCTGACAAATTTGAAACATGCAAAGGGCAAAGCAACATATAAAAGGAAAGTATGATGGCAAGTTTGAGAGAAATCCCGTCAGTGCTGTATAAGCTACGATTGACACAATACTCTGGGTGAGAAACTAAACAAAAGGGGCATTATTCTAAGAAATTTTGTTCAAATTAAACAGCTAGCGAAAAAGCACAATATAATACCATAGGAAGTTATGTTGCTAAGTTTGAGAAATGCCTTGAGTAGTGTTTAAGATTCAGTTGACACAATATTCCGGATTGAAGGTCAGACGGTCAAACAAGAGATTCCAATATACCCCCTTAATTCGTTTTGGGGGTATAAATAATATTATGTTAAAGCAGCTTTATACAGAAATATTTAATTTTTGATATGAATAAAGCATATACTGCTTTTAAATACATGCTAAATGATAGGAATACATTATTGATTCATAACTACAAAATTTAAAATAAAAAATTCCTTTATGATTTATCTGATTAAAACTAACCCTAACATTATAATTATTGAGTTGTCAATATAAAACTAGACTGAAGATCCCATATGTGCGCTAGTAAACTGGCAACATAAGCCCCTGCACCCCCTTCCCTCGATACCACCAACTAATATGTGACATCCTGGAATGATAGAAGACCCATGTATTACAAGGAAAACTATTTAACAATATTATAACATTGGTTTTTATGTAAAACTGTTTATGTACATGTTACTTGGGAATCATACTTATATATATTAACTACTTATCCGGATATGAATGAAATGGAAATCGAAAATTTTATATCAGGTACACATTTTTCTTACCCATTCTTTTGACACGGATGACAATCTTGTTTTCCGCAATGTCAAGGGCTTGAGCTACCATCATCTGTGGACAAACATTATCTGTATAATGATGTAAAATATAAAAATGATTGTGATAACAAAAATATCAAAACATGTAAAGCTCGCCGGCATTGATGTTTCTCTTTATGATTAACACTACAGTAGTATATAGCAACGTCGCCACTGATTAAAGTGACATGTACAGTCAAGTCGCCACTGATTAAAGTGACATGTACAGTCATGAAGTCGCCACTGATTAAAGTGTCATATACAGTCAAGTCGCTACTGAATAAAGTTACATGTACAGTCAAGTCGCCACTGATTAAAGTGACATGTACAGTCAAGTCGCCACTGATTAAAGTTACATGTACAGTCATGAAGTCGCCACTGATTAAAGTGACATATACAGTCAAGTCGCTACTGAATAAAGTTACATGTACAGTCAAGTCGCCACTGATTAAAGTGACATGTACAGTCAAGTCGCCACTGATTAAAGTTACATGTACAGTCAAGTCGCCACTGATTAAAGTTACATGTACAGTCAAATCTGCTCGTTTGCAGGTTATTCTGGCGTCATATTTGCATATGGAAGCAGCCTAAAATGACAATGTAGACAATATCATTATAGGAGATATTACAGCAGAGAAAAATCACATTGTTATGTTTATATCATTACAGGAGATGTTACAGCAAAGTAACAATCATTTTGTTATGTTTATATCATTACAGGAGATGTAACAGGAGAGTTACCATCACTTTGTTATGTTTATATCATTACAGGAAATGTAACAGGAGAGTAACAATCACTTTGTTATGTTTGTATCATTATAGGAGATGTTACAGCAGAGTAACAATCACTTTGTTATGTGTATATCATTACAGGAGATGTTACAGGAGAGTAACAATCACTTTGTTATGTTTATTTCATTATAGGAGATATAACGGTAGAGTAACAATCACTTTGTTATGTTTATTTCATTATAGGAGAT